CCATGTGGCGCTGGTGCCTTTGGATGTGGCCGGAGCCTTAGAAGCCCTGCTCCAGCGCACAATCGCTTAGAAGCTCCTGAAACGTCCCCAGCCTCAGTCGAGCTTGGAAGCTTCAAGGATCCACATTGAGTTGGTGCTTGATGAGAATGGGGGGAATCCCAGCATTCAGTGTAAGATGTAGCTTTAGAGTTCTGAGAGTCCCAGAGGAACATGCCCAAAAATGTCCAAGCCCGCTAAATATACCCTACAATCTAGCTGCTAGCTCAACATCTGCAGCGACTTCCCCATGCCGAAGGCATCATATCAAGCCCTCAGGCAAGAGAAATGCCCACAGTTGCAGGGGCAGGGTTCAGGGCTGTGCATTTTTTGGGATCCTGAGGCTTTGATCGGGATTTTGGGATCCGGGGTTGTGGCGATTGTGCCGCTTCCAGGGCCTTCAGGATGAGGCCGGGGAGTCCGTTTGCCGTCGTCGAGCGCAACTTGTGGGCCCAAGACATCCAAACGCCAACCCCCCTCCACCCCCCCAACCAAAAAGAAAAAAACAAACACACACACACACACGCGCAGAAGTGAGAGAATCAAAAGAGACAGTTGACCAGCATCATTGGTAAGACCAGCGTGCGAAGAGACAGATAGCCCTTACACGTCTCAGTTCAAAGACACCCCGGCCTGAAGTGAGGTGAAGACCTTGCAGCAGACGGAGCCCAGCCGCTTCGGCAGCCTTGGGCTACTCACAGCCGGCCATCGACTCGTGAAGGTGTCGCCCTTTCCGGGGGGAGATGGACGGATTGGGTAGGATTGGGGCTCAGGCATGGGATCCAATAGGTTTAAGAGTAAGCTTTAATTTAGAATCCTCAAGAGTTTGAAGTTGCATGATTGCTTTGTACAGTCTGCTCCTGCCTTCATCCCTTTGTGATGTCTTGTGCTCTCAGTGTTGATAGTGAATAGTTTGCTTCACCGCTTGGGGCTTTCGACTTGCATGCCTTGGTTGCACCGCATGATGCTTCAGGACTTTCAGGATTTCAGGATTTTGGCATTTAGGTGGCCTTCTCCCAAGTAATCCGAAAGAAAGGCTCTTTTCTTTGACAGTGCGAGGCCCGAATACTCAATCCCATACCCGACCCTTGAACCTCCACATATACAGTGTTTCAAGTTCCATGGGACTCAATTAATTAATTAGGCATGTTCGAGGGCTAAGGCTAAGGCCTTGAGGAAGTTGGGGTGTTTTCGTGTCCGAAAGCTTCGGAGGCTAATGGAGAGTTTGCCTTGTTCGGGCTCAGGTGTTGGGGCTTCCCACCTTCCGGGTTCGGAGACTGGTACTTGTTTGGGTCACTTCGTGCTTCCAAACTTCAGGTTCGTGGTTGAGAGTCAAATCATCGTCATGATCCAGCAGCAGCATCATCCCGATCCCCATCCACATCGCCATCACCATCCCCACCCCTCCTCCTCCTCTTCATCATCGTCAGCGTGGTGAGGGCCGGGACTCTGCACAGCAGCAACTGCACCTCTTCGTTTCTCTGTTAGCCATCACAGGAGCTTTCACACCACTGTCCTGACGTCGTCAGTGTCGTCCTCCTTGACCGCTGTTTTTCATCGCTGTCATCGTCATCGCCAACGGCACAATCAGCAGGCAGCACCAACAACCGAACTTTTGTTAATCCGCTTCTTACAACATTTAGATTTCGATTCCACAACCTCAACCCCACAGTCTTCCAACGCCAGGAAAGTGGCCTGTCAGCTTTGTTTCTGGGCCTGTGGCCCACCCTGGCAGGCTCCTTCATTGTTTTTTTTTTTGTTTTTCAGGGCTGCCATATCAGAAGCCCTGGGAAGCACCAGGCTTACACTGTTTTAGCTTTTGGCTACGTGTGCACTTGTAGCGCCGTGAAGAAAAAGCAGTTTAGAGCAAGCCACGTGTTATCTCTACGGGTTTGGGCTTATTATTCTGCTCAGAGAAAATAGGGATCTGTCTAGGGAGTGGCACGAGACGAGGATTGTAGGCCAGCGCCTGCAAAGCAGTATTGCATCTGCATAATTAGCCGTTCTGCGTTTTGATATCGGGGTTCGCGTCTAGATGCATGTCAATTCTTTTCCGAAGCCTCTAAGGCTGAGTCGTCGACGGATCATGGGGCTTGTGACAAAAAATAAGAGGGATCCGACAACCACGTGAACAGGAATCATCCGTCAAGTGCCTCGAATACTCTGAAAGGCTTTTCCTCCCCCGAAAGTAGAATCCTTATGTTCCTGTGCCCCTACAAGGAGCTTCAGGCATAAGCGAGGAAAGAGATGTGTTACTGGTATTTCGGGTTGTCTTTGTGACAAGCTGTCTACGATTGCGATGTCTTGTTGGATCTTCTCAGGCTCTTCTTCATGTTTTGTGACTTTTCTGTTTGAGGCTACACCTGGTATGGAGCTTCCGTGTTCCCGGGCTATGCTGCTTGGCATAGAGCGGCTCTCTGATTCGGGGCCACTTTAAACCTGACCCCTGATATATCAACACAGGGGCCCAAAATAACTACCAAGACTGTTTTGGGGTGATTATATAGTATAACAGACTCCACAACCCTATTCGAACTATGAAGACCCATGCCCTACATGTGCCAAGACAACCACAACTCGAGACTCCAGGCTCGAGGCCAAAGACCGTTTGAATTCAGGGGTCCATTGAATTCGCATGCAGCGGGCAAGAATGCAGATTAAGTGAGACCAGAAACTCGAGTTGTTTTCCGACAGCCCAGAGCCTCAAAGCCCCCTTGAAAGCCGTCGCGGGCTCCTCTGTAGAGGAGCCTCCGGTCTGAATCTCAAGGTCACCTGCAATCAGGCTTGTAAGGGTCTGGCTTTACGGTTCAGGGTTAAAAGGTTTAGGGACACCCTAAACCCTATAAAGTTCAGGATTTAGGGTATAGGGTGTATAGGGCTTTCGGGGTTTAGGGGTTTAGGGTTAGCATCCTTTCCCGCTCGCCAAGACTGCGAGATGCCCCGAGATAGGAAGAGCGCTCTTACCGCGACCCGAAAAGGCCCTAAAACATCCTAGAGAGCCTTATAATATATAGGGGCCTGAACAGTTTCGTACATTATTTTGGGGGGTTCCTTCCAAAACCCGAGTCTAATTATTAAGGCCTCTATATATTACAGCACCTTAGAAGACTCAGAACAGCAATCCCAGGAGCTTTTCAAGCGGAAGTTGATGGAGGTGGCGGGGCCACGGAGAGCAGCAGCTGGGCCGGAGGATTGACTTTCAATATGTTGGGTCCAGGATTTGGGGTTTGTAGGTTTTGGGGCAGACGCATATCGGGCCTAGGGTGTTTTGAGCTTTAGGGTTTTCGGGGAGCGGGGGAGATGCTGTTTAGGGTTTCGGGGTTTGTTTCAGGTTTCGGGCTAGAGTTGCAGGTTTCTGATCCTTTAGATACGTGATGTCAGATTAAAATCGCTAGACATTCACTTCCACTTCTATGTCTTCTGGCAGCGCTCAGTGGCAGGAGATCCCCTGAATGGCGTCTCACATGCTGCCACAGCTGAACCCAAAACCCTAAACGTTTCTAAACCCGGCATGGGGGGCGGGGGCTCAACTAGGCTTCGGAAGGTTCGGTGTCAAGACCCCGAGAGTCCGAGCTGAGAAGCAGGGCGTCTTTTTCAATGTCAGGCTTTCCATCCGGAGCCGACAGCCCCACTTCGTGAGAACGTGAGCGCAATTGCGGTGCTTGGCTCCCGCGGTTTCTGTTGTCTTTGTGACAGCTGGGTCAACTTGCGGACTGGACCCTGGAGAATCCTAAACCCCAAACCGCAGATTCCTAAATCCCACCCTCAACCCCAAACCCTGAACCCCGGAACCCTAAACCCCCTACCCCCAAACCCCAAACCCTACAACCCCCTACTAAACGCAACCCGTAGGCACCGAAACCGCAAACCCGGCTCGAGGTTAGCCTTCGGATCCCCACGATTCTCCTCGCCGGAGCGATGGCGACCTTCTTCGCGTGCATAGGCCTGGGACGCGGGGTTTAGGGAGAGCCTCGGCCTCGAAAGTTTTGAGCAGGGTTCTTAGACGGTTTTATGGGCATTTTGGGGGTTTGGGGGGGCCTCAGGTTTACTGCGGGGCTGCTGTTCGCTGTGCTGGTGTGTGGGGGGCGGGGCCTGCTACTGTTAGAGTAACTGAGCCCTAGACATTGTTTTGTGCAACGTGCAAGTTCAGACTCTGACATACTTGGTGCCTTCCACTCTCCCAAACCGATCCAAACCCTGCAATACACCAGGTGTGGCCCCAGCAGAGGCCAGCGGACTGCAATCAGAATTCAAGGTGTTTTCCAAACTCAGATGTGGGGGTTCAGAGTAGGATGTGCAGAGTACAGGCCTAACGGTATAGATTTGTTGGTAAAGGACTGGTTCATCATTTTGGGCAGGGCGTTGGGCTTGGTGAACCTTCCTCACAAAATACTAGCCGGATATTGCAAGTTCGTTGGCAGTTACGCCAGACTTCCCGGGTGCAGACTTCTCTATACTGTAAGGAGAAACCTGCAACTGTAGGTAACGCTATCATGTATCCACCTGAAGAACAAGCATTGTGTTTCCCGTGAAGCCGCAGTGCGGGTTCCAGGATGTCTGCAAGCATGTGTATTTACATTCAGGCTTTCCGGCTTTTGGAGTTCTAGCTATCTACCTGGCTGACTAATGAAGCTAGCTGGATAACCAGCAAACGAACCAACTAAGTAACTCACGCTCTAAATGCCCACAAGGGATACAAATAACCCAGTCTATGTCTCTTCATAAACCTTCACCTCCGCCTAACCCGGGCCTCCCATTACGGTGTTGAGTGGCGGGTCACCACGCACGGTGTCCTTTGACACAGGCTCAAAGGCATCTCGAACAGGAGGAGCAGAATGCTAAGTCTCTACTTGAAATTGCACCCATAACAGCAGACGTCGCAGCAGTCATGCCCGTTTCAGCACTAGAAATGACCGGTCGAGTACAACTGCAGCGTTGTGATTCCGGCTCGCCGGCCGAAAGCCATGGCACATCCATCGCTCAAGCGTGCGGACGAGTTCTTGGAAGTGTTCAACCGCAAGTTTGACAAGAAGTACAGCAGCATAGAGAGCTTCAATGCTGCACGCAAGCCCTACTGGCAAATGATCCTCACTGGCATGGAGCGTGCCGAAGCCTGCAAGTCCTGCCCCTTCGTCCGTGCCATAGTGGCCATGGAAGTCGCTGTCCGGGCAGGGCACGCCGGGATGCTACCTCCGAAAGCTTCTGCCAAGATGTTCAGTGGTATCGAGTCGAAGCTCCAGATTCCCATCGAGACTTCTAAAGATGGGGTTCACTTGCAAGATGAGAAGATCCCAGCCATACTTGCGATGGCCATCCGAGGACTCCCGTCTCGTAATGAAATCCCAGCACCAGTGCTTGCCCGGCTGCTCTATGGGGCCGAGGGCCTCGCCGTTTGTGATCACATCACTGGCTGGGTTAAGGAGGGCAAGGAGCTTGCCTACTGGGAGCATGACTTCAAACACTTCGCAAACTTGCTTTTGGACCACCTCGAAGTCGATCAGCAGTCTCGTGCCGCCTTCGACGGCAAGGTGGCCCGAAAAATCGAGGGCGCCAAAGCCCGTCGCCTGGAGGGTTTGCAGCGCAGCATGCAGGATGGCTCTTTGCAGGAGATGCTGCAGCAAGCCATGCGGCCCAAAATCCAAGAGTATCAGGGAGGCCCCTGGCGCCCTATGACAGATGAAGAGCTGGAGGAAGAGCAGCAGTTCTTGCGGGGTCAGCCCTAGGGCGCCTGAGCCCGCAGGTCTTATCGTGGTGCAGCTTGCGCCATTTTTGGAGATGGGAATGCTACAAGCGCATTCGTGGTGATGGTGCCTTCAGATGCAGGGGCGCTCGTAATAGCTCGGAGTCTGTTTTGCGACAGCGAAAGCCACCTGTGACAGGTTTGAGTTTCCCATGATTCTTGCATCCGACACCCATAATTTTCATAATGGTCTGTGGTATGTATGCACACGTACATATGTATATATTGATCTCCGTTTGGACAACATTTTTTGGATATGCTCTATATATATATACACACACACACATGTAGCTACATCCGTACATACATCCATACATACATACGTACGCACGTACGTACGTGCGTGCGTACTAATAGGAATCCCGAAGTTGCTGCTCGGTTTCCTCACCTTTGATTCAAAGATGGTGGACCGCGACATAACCTAAGGGTCTTGCTGAAGCGATGGCTTCGGACCTTAACCCTGACACATCCAGAGGTCCCTGCACCCAACACCTCAACTACTTAACTTAAGCGATCAAAGCTTCCCGGCTTGGGCAGTGGAAGGCTGTGCGCATTCGAACCGTGGCGGAGAGAGGCACTGTGAAATCTGTGTTCGCGCAATTCGGGTTTGCAGGAGGTTGAGTAGTCTAGAATCACAGACTCCCAACTGCAAATCGCGTTGAACGAGGGCCAAACAGGGTCTTTTTGGGGGAGTCTCCGGGTCTGACGAGGCCGTAGAGACCTGAAGCATCGAGGAAAGGAGTGCAGCAATTGGTTGCGGTTGTCAGCACCGTCGTTTTCGACCCATTCACCATCGGCGTTGTCGCCGTCGTCGGTCGCAACATTAGCGGCATCACCAATTTATCATGACATGTTCATCGCCACCATCCTTCCACCATCGTCATCATTCCCGTCATCATAGTCATCACTACCAACAGTTCAGCAGCAGCAACAAAACCAACGACAACGACAACCGAATCGTCACAATCAACATCATCTGCCCCTGCAGTCAGCGGATTCAAGCCCACATTGCTCAACCCTACAACCCTAAACCTTGCATCCCTGCCACGGGACACTCTGAACCCTATGGCAGGCTTTTCCCCCGATTTTCTGAGCTCCTGGCACCACCTTTTCGCTGGCTTTCCACCGCTGCTCCTGAGACAGGCGAGTTTAGGGATATTTGGGGTTTACATCGTAGGGATCTAAACTTAAAGCTTCAGGTCAGGGTTCTTAAGAGTTCAGGCTATATGGGCTCGGTGGACTGGGAAGGACGTGCACCCGGAACCTACAGAACAGGGCTTGTTAACGTTCGGTCGCCAAGGTTCGGACTTTTGATGTGGGCTGTTCCCCCTGTGATTCCGGAACCCTGAGTTCAGGATTTGGGTTCTACAGGTTCAAAGCTTTGTGATGAGCTTGAGCCCCAAACCTTAGTTACTAGGGTTCAGCCATGAATGTGGGGGATGTGCTTCCCTGTATAAGCTTCGTCCCTTCGGGAAGAGCTGCCGGTTTGTGGGTTGAGTTCCAGACATTGGGGTTGCAGCTTCTTCTAGGTGTAGGCATGAGAACTTCGAGGTCGAAACTTTGTGTACGTGGGACGGGCCTTGCTTTGATCTGGTATTCGCAGGTCTGCGGACCTCTAGCTGCGGATCGTAAGCCTCACTTTTCAACCGAAGCCTGAAAACTCCAACACGAAACCGCCTAGCCAAAGCCCTAATCTCCGACTACACTGTTTCCGAAAATCGTCTATGCCGCCGAGGAACACACGACCGACCACTTCCCAAGCCCTGAACCCTTCAAGCTTCAAACCCTAAAGCCTTAAAGCCCTAAACCCAGTGCACAACGGCCGCAAACAAAGCCAAAACGTGAATCCGAAGACCCAACACTGCTCCGGGTCACCGGAAAATCTTCAGGTTTTCTTCGGAATGGCCAAGTTCCTGGTCTTCGACACCGTGGCAGCCTTAGTGCTCCGCTACAAAAGAAGGTAGCACTAGAATCTGTATGAATGAGACATGATTGGCCTTACATATCCTGTCTAGAAACGAAAAATGAACTTGAAGCCGTAGAGCTCTACAGCCACAGACCCTACGCCCCGGAAGCCACCACCAAGGCAGTTCAGCCCGGACCTGTTGAGATGCTTCAATCGCCCACATCTCCCTTATGAGACCTACCAGCATATTGCCAGAAAGACCAAATAAGGTTTTAGGGCTTAGGGTTTAGGGTTTATAATGAGGTCGCAGCAATGGTCTACCGCCAGCTCCCCTGGATGGCGAACAGGCCGGGTTTCAGGGTCGGGTTTCTTTAATGCATGCAGGCCGCAATTGGGGCTCCTTTACGATGCCAAAACATGTTTGCGTGTGCCCTTATGGTGCACAGAAATTAGATATAAATGAACAAAAAGAGCAATACATCACACGTCACAAACAGCTTAAGTTCAGACATGTCTTAATTTATAAACGGCTATAACGGCGATAGTGTCCCAGCACGACCCAGCAAGAGCCATCTCAGAATCTACGCCCAAACACCTGCTTCGAATCCCACACTAAGCATTTCAGGGTGTGGGTTGCGGGTATAGACAGATTAGAAGAGGGCTTTGGCGGGAAAATTCTATTATGTAAATACAAAGAGCAACAACAAGCCACATGCATTGGCAATCATCATTCCGACTCCTATGGTGGGGGTCGCGGGTATCCAGACTTAGGGCTTAGGTGGTTCTGGGGTTCGGGTCTCCGGGCTTGGGTCCCCAAGGACTGTTGCTTCTGTAGGGTCGAGAGCTTCGGTTAAGGGTCGAGGAGGTTTCCAGGGGGGTCACGGCGTCAGGAGTTTGGGCCTGCAACCTTCGAGCTTGTTGCTGATTCCTCTTTTTGGAAGCCCTGTGAAACGGGAACCCCTACACCCCAGACATCCTAAGCCCAAGACCCTAAGTAGTAGTTTCTCGGCAGATGCCATAGGTCTAGGTTTAGCCCTACAGCCAATACCAAGATCGCCAACGGCAGCTTGCCAGGAAAGGGACTTCCTCCATGGTGTCCATGTTTTCCGGCGCCGTTGCAGGCAGGGTTTTGGGTGTAGGGGTTTGAGTCCAGGGTTTTACCGTTTGGGGTCTGAGGCCTGGGGTTATATGGGTCATAAGCTAAGAGATCCGGTTCCTTGGCTTTGCGGTGCAGGGGCTCTTGGCCCCTAGAACCCGAACCTGTAAAGCCATCATTCAGTGGCCTTGTGAAATGTAGTGACGCAGGACAATTGGTTTTGCAGATGTTGTTCAGGTTCGTTGCCTTTTTTGAAGTGCCGGTTTCTGCTCCTGGCTTACGATTTCAGGACTCCGGGCTCCAAGTCTGTCCTGTCTCAATGTTTCATACTTCAGTTCGAGGTTCAGGGTGTAGTATTTCTTGTAAGGCTCGGCGTGCCCAGTTAACACCCAGCTTCATGACCGACCTTGCAGGCATTATCTCCACTTTCGTGAGCCAGCCTGCAGACGCCATCCTCACGTGCATGTCGGCGACCCCTCAGCTAGGCGCTTTGAGCCCTGATGGTTTAGGATCTAGGGTGTGGAGATTTTGGGATGTTGGGCTTCGAGGTCAGGAAACGAAACCCCCCACGGCTCAAAGGTTCAGGATGAAATCTGTAAGTTCATTGTTCATGTTGTCGATTTCTCCTGCTGCTGTCGCAACTGCTAGTAACATCTTAGTTGCGGTGGTGGCCGATGTCAGCATTATTACGACTGGCAGTCCTACTGCTACTGTTGTGAATGAGGATGACGATGACATGAGTTATCTGTGCTATTTTGCCTCCTGCTCGAATCATCGCGTTGTCAATCTTGTCCAGGTCTTGCTGGTACCTGACCACAGGACTGACAGCCATGGCAACGACAATGACCACTAATGAAAACAATACCACCATGATGACCATCGCATTTCTAACCAAAAGCAGAACAATGCCGACAAACCAGTAATTGGTGCGGTTATCTTTGTGTGGGAGGGCATTGAGGGAATCCACACAGGCAGTGAGCTCAGGGCCGCAAACCTCCCGGAAAGATTCTCGAGGAGAGTCTGGGACCAGAATGTCTCCTCACCCCAGAACCCCGTGAGGCCCTGAGCCCTCAAGGCCTACACTTCGAGCCCGAAATCTATGAGTCTGCTGTCACGTCCCGCATCCCAAAGTCTGCACCCTAAGCCCCAAGAAGGATTTAGTGTATATGTACATAGATAGATAGATAGACAGACAGACTAGGAAGAGAGGTTTCATTACATATGCATGTATTACTATGTGTATAGTATTTGTATTTGTATTTATGCTTTATAGTGTATATGTACATACACACACGCACATGTGGTCGCAGTGGCTGTACAAGGAAATCGCACAGTCAGGACAGTTCTGTTATGGACCCTTAGGATTCGAGGCTTCCCTCTAGTTGCCGAGCAATGACCAAGTTCAGAGTTAAATCTCGTTGTGGGCCGAGTCGTTTATTGCCGGGTGTGGATGCCGTCGGAGCCGGTTCTGAGGCTGACGCACGGATATGAAATTCAGTACCGGACTCGAGCACACGAGATTCTGTTGGAGCCACTTCTTTCCTCGCAGCCAGTTCTGTCCTGATTCGCAGCAAAACCCTTCGATCAGGTCTATAGCACCGCGTCTGCAGATACTTCAATGGTTTCGGGACCATGAATCAAGCTCTGAGAACAACCCTGAAGCATCAGGCCTAAGCGTTAAGCCCAAAATCGATGCTTGGGAGGCATAGCAGGAGCAGCATCAGCCTTGTGGAGAGACGGACTGCCGGGTCGATTCTGACGAGCGCTGTGTCGTTTGAAGGGGTCCCTGCCGTAGAAAACTCCTATTGACGTACACAGGCGCCTTCAAGAACATCTTGATTTTGAGGATTTCCCGTGACCTTTGACACTTTGAGAGCCTGGTGCCTGACAAGATTAGCGTTTAGGTTTCGGGTTAAGGGATAAAGCTGGGCTTTGGGCTTTTGGCTTTGGGTTTTTAGGTTTTGAGGTTGGGCCTGGGGTT